GTCAGGTCATCGCATTATCAATGCATGCTGGGAATAAATCAGAGAATGGGCCAAGGAACTTTTTTTACAGGGGGGTCACAGTGGTTTATCACGAATGTCGTACTCTGTATAACTTATGATTGAACAAGGAAAACAAATTGCCAGTAAATAAAGTATAGACTCATGCACGTATGAATATAATGATTTTATAAATAAATAAAAAACGGAATTGCAGGCATAAATCTGCCTTCACACTTTGCAATGTATCTGAAACAAGCTAAACATCTTCGGGGAGTTCACTTACTTACTTACTGGGGTAATAACATAATTAACGAGCATTATAATATACAATTTATTTATTTATTTATTTATTTATTTATTTATTTATTTATTTATTTATTTAGTTAGTTAGTTAGTTAGTTAGTTAGTTAGTTAGTTTGTTAGTTAGTTTCCCAAATTCTCAGCTAAAGGTGGTTTTGTTACATTATCAAATTACTCTGAAAAGACAGAATAAAGTTGAAGGAAGTTCTTTGTTTCTTATATATGGCATAGACGTTATTCAGTTTACTGTTTTCGTTTGTTAGCTCTGCTCAGTGATACTCCTCTTCGTTGTGATTCCACTTGTTGAATGTACAGGCATGATCTTTTGCCAACTCTTCAATATTAAGTTTTAATTCTAAAATTTCATCACTGAGTTTGCTTCTCTGTTTTTTGACTGATCCAAGTCATCCCTTGTGTATTTCAGTGCAACTTGGCAGTATTTCCTGTGACCCCGGCCTGAATCAACGAGCAGACTCTGGAAATTGAGTCATGTATTTTTTTTTCAGTGTGTTAATTATAGGAATTGGGGAAAATCACATAGTGTGAATTAACATGTACATGAGGGGTCCATCATTACTTTTCCCCAATCATGGCTGTGCTCAAACATTTAATAGCAAACTTAATTTAATATATAATCTTAAAGATAAACAGAGAGAAATTATAAATGCATTTTGCCAACAGGATATGGTAAAAGTTTATGTTTTGTAATCCCTTCATTCATTTTGGATGAGGAGTCACCTGAGACACAACATATTTCTTTAGTGGTTACACTGTTACGGCACGCCTGATTGGCTGAAAATGAGTATGCGCACTTGATTTACCCAGAACTCTGTGCGAATCCCCCTTGATTCTGGCTGCTGGCCATTTTCGATCATGAAATTGTCGGATATCACCAGAAAACTCGCGATTTGTGCAATTTTGAATAAAACCAAGTTAGCGATTACGAACAATGGTTATTAACGTAACACCTGATCCCCTCTAAAATTGTTGTTTCGCATTTTAAGGTAAGAAATCGACATTTGAAACCGACAGGGTGTCGATTTACTAGGTGCCGTGTTTCACAACTTGTTTATTTATATACGTATAGTGGATGATTTTTTTTTTGAAAATTAGTATTTATTGATTTTCAGCCCCCAAGTGACTGTGCACTAGATACCAGCCGATACCCCCCCCCCCCGCTCATAGAGACTGCGTATTACAGTTGATTATAGTTTCTGGGCTCCCTGTGATATAAGCCCAATAGTGTATAAGTTTATGGAAATAAGGAAATT